GTGTGTGTGTGTGTGTGTGTGTGTGTGTGTGTGTGTGTGTGTGTGTGGAAGGGCAGTGGGTGCTGGTCACCTGATCTGCTCTGATCCCAACCCTCTGGGATGGTGGAGAGCCTCAGAGACAGAAACAACCTCAGCCAGGCTTGGCTACGTGTCCTGTGATGCAGCTAATGTGGGCTTTGAGTCCAGCCACCTACAGCCTTCAGAAGACCTGGACGGACAGACACCTCCTGCTCCAAGAAACGGTCTCTGATTACTCAGGTTACTCCGGGTGCAGCCAACAGTACTCATCACCCTGGGACCGGAGCTGCCTGGTCATGTGACCATCTGTGAGCCCCGGGAGGGCTGAGCGTACCTGCTGTGTCCCCAGCGCCCCACGCACAAACATAGTAGGAGCTCAGTCAATATTTTGGTCTGAATTAAACAACATACCTAAGATGGATTATTATTACAGAAAAGGCCCAGAATGGAGAGGGGAGGCTCCCGAGGCCATCTGGGGATTTGCCTTGGGATGATATTGGAATGGTGGCTAGGGTCCTCCCTCTGGATACCCTGACTAGCCTCTGAGGCTCTCCTCTCCTCTCAGCTTCTGGAGAGGACCCCTGTACTAGGAGCTCACCTCCCGACGGCTGGGTGACTTTCGGCAAGCACCTTCCACCCTCTGAGCAGCTCCCAGATCCTACATTCCACCACGGAGGGAACCTAAATGTCTGATTACTGACAAGGCACAGAGACAGCAAGTGGATTCCTCAAGGTCACACAGCAAGGCAAAGAGAGAGGGGCCCCTGGCTACCAGGTGGTCTCTGCTTCCCAATCCCCACTTCAACTTTGGGATCGTACCAACCCCTTCCCCAGCCTCCCTTCTTTCTCTGGGCCTGAGGAGGGAGTGCTGAAGGTAGTCACCCTGGCACGGGTTAATGGATGTCTGGCAGCCAGACCATTACAAAGACAGTCCCGATGAATTTGTATTTGTGAATATCTCAATGCGGCTGCCCTGGCCAAGCGAGCCCGCCTAGGGCCCCGCCCGTCTTTGTCAACATCTCAAAACGCCAGGCGAGAATCCCCTTCAATGCAAACCTCCGCCGAACACTTGGCAAATCTCTTTTATTTTTCCCTCTCTTTATTCTCACCCTCCCTTTTCCCTCCTCTCAGCTCAGGGAAGAAGCGATGAAAGGCAGAGGAGGCCGAGGAAAGATGAACAAAGCCACCACGTTCCAGGCCGGCCGGGCAGAATGGGAGATTTTCAGGCGGATTGTGGAATTCAGCGGGTTGAATGGAGGCCGCTTCGAGCGAGGATTCTAGCAGCTCAGATCACAAAGGCGGCCGAGCGGGGCCTCCTCGGCAACGCTGCCAACACCTGCTCCCTTTTCAGCGCCACAATAGGGAAGTTAAGCTTCGGCCACGGCCTCCTGCATCCCGAAGGGACCTAGCCCGTGGGGCTCAGCTGCCCTGGGAGCTGCAGGGACGTGAGGAGGACAGCAGAGGGGTCTCTCGGCGGCTCCCTGGCCCCCACCCACTTGGTGCCAGGAGCACCCGCAGTTGTGACAACCAGAGATGTATCTGTGATAACGCCCGGTTGATCTTGGGCGGCCTCGGCCTACAGCAGCTTGAAGCAGGGTTTTGGTTTCTGGCCGGTGACAGGTCACAGCGGTGAGAGCACCGAATCCTAGCCACTAGACCAGTGGTCGGTGACGAGGCCCTGGCGCTATGGCTTTGCAGAAGAAGAATTCCCACAAAGACGGAAAGTAGTGAAACAAGTAAAGTATTTATTAAAGGAAAAGAAGAGTACAGTACGTGTGGCTAGACACACGGGCGGGCTCAGAGAGAGAGTCGCACCCTCTTGGTAGTTTGAATCCCTTTTATGAGGCGTTTCTTCCGGGTTTCCTTTGGCCAATCATTTTGATTTGCCTGGTTCAAAGTCCGTACTTGGTATATCTCAGGATTTTCCCACGTGTGAGCGCGCATCTCTTAGCCAAGATGGATTCTACCGAAGAGGCCTATGGGTAGTGAGCATTAGTTACCATCACTTAGCATCACTCCCCTTTTGACCTCCCAGGAGCCCTTCTGTGTAGCATGTGTAGTCGGGATGTCTCCTGACTTCAAGAATGAGGAATATGTGGTCTCTTATCTTCTATCTGGGCAGGGCCCAGCCTCCTCTCTCAATTGTCCTGTTATTCCCGTCTGAGTATCAGTCCACAAGGAACGAACTCAAACCATTTGCCCTGGGGGCCCATCTGTCTCCTGCCTCACGGTGTCCCCTGGGTGCAGGATTGCCCCCAGATGAAAACCACTGCTTTCCATTATTTTTTTTTTCATATCTTTATTGGAGTATAAGTGCTTTACAATGGTGTGTTAGTTTCTGCTGTACAACAAAGTGAATCAGCTCTATGTATACATATATCCCCACATCCCCTTCCTCTTAAGCCTCCCTCCCACCCTCCCTATCCCATCCCTCTAGGTCGTCACAAAGCACCGAGCTGATCTCCCTGTGCTATGCGGCTGCTTCCCACTAGCTATCTATTTTACATTTGGTAGCGTGTATATGTCAATGCGCCCCCCTGCGCCCTCTAGTCTGTTCTCTTCGTCAGCGTCTTTATTCCTGCCTCGCCACTAGGTTCATCAGTACTATTATTATTATTTTAATTTTTTTTTTTTTTTTTTTGGCTGTGTGGCTTGCAGGATCTTAGTTCCCCGACCAGGGATCGAACCCATGCCCCCAGCGATGGAAGCACGGAGTCCTAACTACTGGACCGCCAGGGAGGTCCCTGCTTTCCATTATTATTAATTCTTAGAAGTGACTTGGTTAGGCCAAAGCACGTGCCCATGGTTTGAAAACATTGACAGATGTTGTCCGCTGGTCCTCTGAATTTTATGGCAGTATTGTCAAGTTGTATCTATGACCCTCCCGGTAGCTGGACACATCATGACCTATGAGACCAGACACTTCCCGGCCCAAGGTGAGACTGCAGGAGGGACTTCCCTTCGGAGCTCTGACCCCTCCTTGGCTGGAACTTCACTCCCCACCCCTGCCACCAGCCTCTGCAGAAGGGGAGCCCCCACCCCTCCCTTACCCTGGGGGTGGATGGAAAATTCCCACCTGCTGTGACCTGGACTGAGGAGCTGGCCCTTCCTTTGATGGAGGAATAACAGGGAAGCAATCAGCTTCCAGCTGAGGCTCTGAGGGGGGATCCTGTCTGGTCCCTGGTTGGGGAAGGAGGGACCAAAGCAAGGAGAGTGAGGGCTCCAGGCCTGCGGGATGGTGAGCTTCAGGGCAGAGACAGGGGCTGTTTGAGGGCCTGATGTCTCGAGATCCACGGGGTCCCTAGCACCTCTTGCCCCAATGCATGCATGCATTCATTCATTCAGTATCTACCTCCCCCCTCAGTGCCCTGACCTGAGTGCTGGGGACACAGCAGTGACAAAGACCCTGCCCTGTCCTCCTAGAGCTCACAGTCCAGAGATGGACACGTGACTGGGTAGTCACCACTGGGTGAAGAGAGCTCTGATGGGAAGCATGCAGGCAGCTGAAAGAGCCCGGGGAAGCCCCTGAGCCGGCCTGGAGGTCGGGGTGACTTCTAAGCTGAGTCTCGAAGGGTCCAGGGAGTTTAGTTGGGTGAAGATGGAGAGTGAGTAGCCGGATCAGATTTTAGGAGCCTTTTTGGGGAGGATGGATGGGAAAGCTTGGGATTGGAGGCAGGGAGACCAGGGAGGAGCAGAGGCTGGGATTCAGGCAGACAGGGTAAGGCCTGTGATGGGCAGTGGGGACAGGCAAACCGAGGGGTGCCTCTGAGATGGGGGCAGGTTTGGGGGCAACATCCAGAGCTGTCCAGATCCCCCTGGGTTTGATGCTTTGACAGGGGTCCCTCCAGGCTTGGGTGCCAGGATTGGTGGAGTGACGGCTGTAAACAGCAGTGGAGAGCCATGCAAATGCGTCTAGAGCGGGCCGACAGCCCGAGTGACGAGTGACGGGCCGTTATTAGCTCGAGAGCGCGTGGGTTTAAAATAGCATCGTGGCAGCAACAAAAGCAATTTGCCTCCTGAATTTTCATTCTGAGTGGATGAGCTGCTTTTAATCAAGTAAGGCGTCCCAAAATGCTCTTAATTACCTCAAGTCAAGGGCTCGGCAGTAATTTCGATGTCGACTTTCGGGTGGGCGTGATTAGGTTTTCATCAAAGAGGTTGCAGGGAAGATGAGAAGGATGTTAGGGTGAAGTCGGACCCGAGCTGCCCTGGATGGCCCGATGGAGAATCAGCGGGCAGGGGCCTGTGGGCCAGAGCCAGGCCTCGGGGCGGGAAGGTCAATCTCAGGCTTGACTGTATGGCTTTGGCAAGTCACCATCCCTTTGGGGGCCTTGGTTTCCTTTCTCCATTAAATGCAGAGGTTGGTGATGGCTTCATGATGAGGATAAAATGAGAGCGTGCTTGAAAACTTCTTAGCATCAGATCAATCAGGTCGTTCATCATTCATTCATTCATTTATTCACTCGTTTACTTACTGAGCACCTCCTGTGTGCCAGGCCCTGTTAAAACAGGGCACCGGAAGCTCAGCAACAACCATGACAAATGACATCCTGCCTCTCGGGTCTAGCAGAAGAGACAGTCACCAAACAAGGAACTCATCACATTTCACTGATTCTAAGATGCTTCATTTTCCTGTTTTAACATCTCTGAAATTGGGATGTGTCCTCTTCCCCTGTGCCATGATTTAATTGGCAGGGATGTTTTCATCCTTAGCAGGATATAAAACAAGGGTGGGTTTTCTCTTTGATGGCATCTCAGAGTCCATGGGATACAGTAATAAGTAAGTATGTGGCAGGGGGTGTTTGAAGGTGAGGAGGGAAGAAATGAAAGATGGTGTTTTCCAAAGTCCTTGACACCAGCCGAGAAACTCTGTTGCTCACGTCACACCTAAGGGTCGGGGCCACGGAAGCATGCAAGTCTTCTGCAGCTGGTCACGTATCACGTGGTTACAGTGCAGTTAGAAGAGGACCAACCATATTTAGCGTCTCACCGGAGAGGGAGTCCCAGGTATTTGGGGTAGGACCGTGGTGAGATGGTGGAAGGAGCTGGAAGCATTGGGCAGTCGCTCCAGGGGTTGCCCTGGCAAAGGTACTGGGTTTTGTTGATTTGTGGAAGTTGGAGCAACTTTCTGGCCTGTGGACAGGTGGTTTCTATGGTGGCCTCAAGTCTCCTTGATGGGATGATAAACCACACGGCTGCAGAGGCTCGGAGCGTCATACCCCGGAGGAAAGCCAGCTCCTGGAAACAGGCAGGCTCTGGAGTCAGACGGGTTTAGGGGCCAATTCCGGCTCCACCACTTCCTGGTAAGCGACCTTGAACAAATGATGTTCCCTCCTGAGCCCAGTGTCTTGGTCTGTAAAACAGAGTCAGTATCAATTCTTACCTGGGAGCGTGGGGATGTGGGTTAAATGAAATCACTCAGGAAAAGTACTGAGCATAGCACCTGGACCATAGGAAGGGCTTGATCAGCATTACCTATTAGAATCAGGAGTCTTTACTTTCATCCAGAACCTGCATCACCTCTTTCTGTCCAAACTGTCAAAAAACTTCTAGTCTTATTTATTAGATCAGGCTTGGTTTTGCTGCAGTAACAAACAGCCCCTAGGTCTCAGAGGTTAATGACATCAAAGATTTATTTTTCGGCACTTCTCTGGCAGTCCAGTGGTTAAGACTCCACGCTTCTAATGCAGGGGGGCGTGGGTTTGATCCCTGTTCCGGGAACTAAGGTCCCACATGCTGTGTGGTACGGCCAAAAAAAAAAGATTTATTTTTTCACTCACATTGTATAGTCACTGTGGTTTTTTGGGCTGGGGGCCTGCCTCATGTCCCCTGACTCAAAGATGCTGGCTGATGGAGCAGCCACTGTCTAGAATATTGTTGATCTCTGTGTCAGAGAGAAAGACAACTCTGGAGGTTCTCTTACTAGCAATAAATGCTCTGGCCTGAAAGTGACACAGGTCATTTCCTGGTCTGTATACCAGAACTAGTCATATAGCCCCACCTAGTCCAACCATTCGTGGATGTGCTCATGTAACAGTCAGCTATTGCTGTGTGACAAACATTCACCGAATCTCTTTGGCATACAGCAGCAAGCATTTATTTCTCATTGCACATCTGTAGGTCAGCTGGGCTCAGTACTCAGTGTCCAGATCTGGTCCATGTGTTTCTCATCGTCCTTGGATTAGTGGCAGCTCAAGATATATTTGTCTGATGGCTAAAGGCAGTAGCACAAGAGGGCATGCGGAAGAATGCAGTCCCTCTTAGGGCCTCAGCTCAGATTTGACACACTATCACTTTTGCTCATATCGCTTTGGCCTAAGCAAGTCTCATGGTTGGGACTGACATCAGTGGGTCAGGGAAATATGTTTCTCCTGTGGAGTCTGGGGATCTATTGGAATTTGCTGAGTAATAATCTAATCTTCCATAATCCAGAAGGTGAGGTCAGGAAATATTTGGTGAGAGCATTATTAGTTACCATGCATTAGCCATATACATAAATGCCCAGGTCGTAAGTGGAAAGACCAGGTGGATATGAGCTTCAGGTGTGGCTGAATCCAGGAGCTCATTTCTCTCTGTCTCTCTGCTCTGCTTTCTCTGCATTGTTCTGTTCTCAGACTCTGCGTAGAGAGCCTACCAAGAGGTCTGCAGCAAGATGTCTAACCTCATATCCTTTCAGGTTTGAGCCCAGCAGGAATAGCCTGCATTATGACAGTCCTTTTTTCAGGTATCAGATCTCTCAAATAGCATG